GGAATAGGCGGTTTTGTCAGGAAGAGGTGAAGGGAGGGTATGGAATGGTTATTCAGACTACGACGCACCTGTTAAGTGCCATCCCATGTAAAGCTACCGGCGCACGATAGCTGGCAGCAGAACTCCCTAGCTTTCAGTTCAGCGGGTTGAGGACGGCGAGTCTTGGGGTTGGTTTTCGTGCCCCTCCTTTTGCCACAGCAGTGATGTACAAGTGTAGAGTGGAAGCGGGGAGATAGTTTTCGTTGGGCGTCGTCTTGCCCGCCAGGTAGATGTCATCTACTGCTCTTCTGGGGTGTTTGAAAGGTGCCGACACTTTTTGTCCAAACCTCTTCCACGGGAGGCAAAAAGCGTTTCTTTCAGTTTTTTTTAGTGTCGGGTTTGCTGCCCTGCGCTCTATCTTGGCTGTCTGTGCCCCCCTTGATAGCGGATGGCTCCCGGCGCGCATTCCGTTGCTTTCGGTGTCCGATATGCATACGATCGCCAATTGTAGGTGTAATTTGATCTTTTCTATATTTGAAGATTTGTTTGTGTTCGAAGATACACGCCGACTGGGTGGTGCAAACGTGCAAACCAAAGCTGCCGCGCCAAATTGTTGTGCCGCCAACGTGCAAGGGGGAAACGGGAGCTCATCTCCTGATCTGGTGGTGGTGCATCACGACAATTTTCTTCAAACGAGGGCTGCTGCGGTCAGGCTGAGTCTTACGGCGTGATTATTTCTGAGATTTTTTTTTTCTCTCGGGGGGGGGGGGGGGGCCNCCCCCCCCCCAAATCCAATCCGGAAATAATCACGCCGTAAGACTCAGCCTCATTATGTCCAACGCAGTCGGGCTCGTTATATGATTGGTCAGCCCCGCTGGAAGCAACTGTAGACAGACCCCCTCCCAATGGTCTTTGCATTTTTCAATGAGAAGTAACCAGAAACGGGTATACCCAGGTGGATTATCGCCATTTCAGGGTACACTTGGAAATCAACACGACACCAATCTCCGACAGCATCCGCCGTAGATCGCGGCGAAACCAATAAACCGCTGTGTCCTGTGTCCCGTGTCCTGTGCCTCGGAATCATGATGCACGAGGCAGATCGTGCCCGTTTCTCTCTCTCTCTCTCTCTCTCTCTCTCTCTCTCTGTGCTTTTACTGATCAGTACCACACCGAAGTACTCGCGAGTCAAGCGAGTCCGACCCTCTGTTGAGAGGGGCCGGTATCCTATGGAGGCGGTGCCCATGAACGATGAACGAGCGAGCGTTGTTTGTGATTTGGTTGTGGTTATGTATGTGCGGGCGCCGGGATTATATGACCATTTCTGGGTACAAAACCGACCTCTTCCGCGTACACCAGTAACCAATATCGGTCAACCACACCAGAGGGTCCTTATTCCAGCGGAAGTTGTACCCGATGGAGATTTCTTCAGAAATGGGTACACCATTGTTTTTCGCCAATAATTAGCTGACAGCCTGGGGGTGCAAGAGTGTTGATTCCTAACTGTACCCTAAAGTGGTGATAAAAGTACCCGGGTAAGCTGGGCCAGCCGAGAAGCTCACTTTCGTTGTTTCGCGTCTCACGCTGCCATTCTACGAGGAAATTTTGTGGCTACTCTTGCTTTGAAGGCAACAGAGGATGCGTCGGTGCCAGAATTTTTTGAATCCGAGTTGATTTGGGTATTATTATTTAATGCTCAATTTATTGTTGGCGGTGTGGTGGGGGATGCTTCCGGTACTGAAACCAATATAAAAAAGTTTTACAGATTAAGCCGAAATTTGGTGTGCACTTACTACCTGGGAGCATTGCGAGAACAATGGTGGTAGTTACAATGCTCAGTAAGGTCATCTTCCATCAAAAGTTAACGCCTCGTTAAAGATCCTCTACAACAAACACTCATGAGGAAAAGTGAGGATACGCGATTTCCGAGGCGATTTTTACGAACTATTAGAACCTAACATTTATGTGGTTGGCACCGGTCTTACAAATGTCCCCGAGTCGGGTGCAGTGTTCTTTTTTTTTTATGTCCGCAAAAACCACTATATATTGGGATTCTCAGTTGATTAATGAAGGGATACCTCACGAAAAAAAAAAAAAACACCGCACCCGACTCGGGGACATTTGCAAGATCATTACCAACCACATATCAACACTTTAGGTTCTAGTTCGTAAAAAACGCCTCGGACATCGCTTTTATCCATTTTGCTAGCTTCTTGGCTGGCCCAGCTTGTACCCGTTTCTGGTTATTGGCTGGGGAGGGGGGGTCTCTCGCATGGCGGAGCCCCTCAGAGCAGTCATCCATCTGTCACCTGCTGCTGGTGGTCTGGCTCGCAGCAAGCAGCACAGATAAGAACCTGCGAAGACCTCCACCACTCCCAATGCAATTACCGCTCTCGTTAGGTTTCATTGGATCAGCTCTCCGTGCTCCCAACTATATATGTGAGTCACGTCCTTGGAATATGGAATGGCCTCCTTGTCGAGGGAAGACACAGAGATGAGATTGCACATCAGGCGCAGCCGTGATGCGGCGGGCAGCGAAGAGGAGGAGAGAGACGGGAGGTACCACTTTGCTATTCATGGATCCCTCTCATCGAAGGAAGCCTGTGCTGCGTGGGCGGCGTGGGTTACCTCCGCGCAAGGGGAAGCGCAAACATGCGAAAATTACCGAGCATGATTCTGGCATGCATCTACGCTGGCTTTTTCTTGGGCAAACGCCGCCCGTCCTGTTTGACTCATGTTGACGATCGCCTCGGTTGACATTGCTGGGTGAGACACGCCCCGCAAATCCACTGCCTCTGCGGCACGGAGGAGCTCGAGAATATTTCTGGCGTCAGTTTTGGTAGGAAAAATGTGAAGTAAGAGGCTGGGGCTTGTTGTACAGCCGCACCCGCCGCGGTGAGCATGATCTCCCAAGAAGACGGCAGCGGGGTTTTCGGATGCGGTGCAATTGTAGGAGGCGAGCCGTGCCACAAGCAACCAGAGGGTATTTTTTTTTGTATGCATTTTCTAATAATAAGATGGAAGAACGCCCCGTGCAATTGCAATTATGCCCGATCGGCCGCACCCCACCCCGTTCCGCCCCAAAACTGCTTGCCTACATTACACCAGCGAGACCTTTCACCAGAGCCGTGCTCTCCAAGAACAACAACTTCGACAGACAAACCGTCACCATCCTCAACATGGCCGCCTCCACCGCCACCGCCGGTGCCGCTCCTGGGGGCTCGGTGGGCATCGTACGGGGCTTTCCCGGGGCAGTGGGGTGAGTCGAAGCGACAGACACAGCATCCTTCGACTGCTGTTTCGTGCTAAACGTCGAGATCACGCGTGCGTGCTTTTGTTTACGCATGTGCAAAAGGCCGGTAGGTGTTTGTCCGCACTTTGGACAGCAGGCTTGTCGTGCAGAGTGCACAACAATACATCATGGTAACATGCATGGCACGCGGCATTTTCTTGCGGTACTGCTGCGTGATTCTGGGAGCGGCCGACGACGGCAAGCTGTAACCTGTGTTGACTTGAGCACCTCCCGAGACATCACCAGTTTCAAGTACCGTATTATCTGCAAAAGCTCTTCGCTTGTGGTTGTGGCTGTGGCGCTCTATTAATAGTACCGCAAGGGTCGGAGAGATGGCACCGGGTGCGATGATTGTTTGTGCTACTTTTTTTCTTGGTGTTTTTTGTTTTTTGTCGCACCCCGGTGCGATCGATCTCTCCGACCGGTGCGATCTCTCAGACTCTTCCTGCAGGCAGGAAGTCCAGTCGCGTAGCGAGCGGAATGTTGTTGTTAGTCTTTCGAGAACTCTGTACCGGGTTTGAGATTGTCGACGCCCGTGCTTTTGACAAGTGCGAACTCAACCCCGTTGTTGTTGCTGTCTCTTCCCTTCTTACTTCCCCCGTAACAACACCAGCATTTCTCCTTGTGCGTCTCCTCCTTTCATGGCTCTGCCTCCATTACCCCCGTAAACACCACCGGACAGCAACACCCCGCTGGTCCGGCTCGGCAGCCTCAGCGACAAAACGGGGTGCGAGATACTGGCCAAGGCCGAGTGGATGAACCCGGGGGGCTCCGTGAAAGACCGCGCGGCCAAGTACCTCATCATGGACGCCGAGAAGAAGGGGGCTCTCAAGCCGGGAGGCACCGTGGTGGAAGGGACGGCGGGTAACACCGGCATCGGATTGGCTCACATGTGCCGCGCGAAGGGCTACAAGTGTGTGATTTACATCCCCGAGACGCAGAGCAAGGAGAAGATGGACGCCCTGAGGTAACAGCAGCAGCTGTTGCTGGGGCGCGAGATCTCGTCAGTTCCAGTAACGCCAAGACTAACGCGCCACGCGCTCTTTCTTTCGTCTCTTGCAGTGCTCGCCCTCCCTCTTCGAACGTGACTGCCTGCCGTTGATGGCTACCATTTGATTTTTCTCACAGTCCCGTTGTGTGGAACGGCCCGCTCTCTGTTGGCATGCCCCTTTCCGATTATCCTGCTGTCTTGATGCCCTCCACGTCTGTTGGTGCGAATGGCCTTGATTATTCGGGCGAATAGGGGTCTCGGGGCAGAGGTAAGGCCGGTGCCGGCCGTGCCGTACAAGGACGAGATGAACTACAACCATCAGGCGAAGCGCTGCGCCGAGGAAATGGAGAACGGTAAGTTTTTCGTTCATCTTGTTTCTATAATAAAGCCTTGTTGTTACGTGGATACTGGGTCAGCAAACCAGAAGCAAAATTAGTACACTCAGACGAGTATCGAGAGTGCAGTAACACGTTATTCCGGAATCGGCCGCTTGTTGGTGGACCATAGGGATGGAACTTTGAGGAGCTAGCGTTCATGTATTTTGTTGTTGGTTTTATATATCCCCTTGTGGCACCGACAAGGGTTTGTAGATATGGCAGAGGCGATTTTCTGGGCCAAGTCTGTGTGTGGGCAGTAGCGCACGGTATTCTTTGAATCCCTTAGAGGGGGGGATATGACCCAAGTTGTTGCTCCTGGTTGTCGCAAGCGGCTACTTTTTATGTTTCGCTGAGCTCCACGCTTCTTCTCGTGCCCATGATCAGGCGATGTACACAGCCGCTATGTTTTTGTCGCTTTTTGTCACCATCCCGAGTCTCGTGCGCGTGTTGTTTCTCTTCTTTGATCTTGTTTTGAGATCTACACCTGCTTCTTCGTTATCTGCAAATAGTACTCCACCTAGCCTGGTTATATCTGCGGCACATACAACGAGGTAGGCACGCTCTACGATGGAATCCTAACACCATATTCCCGCCACCAACTACATCCATCCGGGCACATTTTGGTCCAAAGTATCCCGAGAAGAACGGTCACACCCTCTCATAGCTCCGTTCATCTGTTCCGTCATCCTCCTCGATCCCCCCTGCAAACATGGCCCAGAATTCCGTCAAACGTCGTTTCATCCATTCCCATCCGGTCTCCATGTATTCCCGTCGCTCCCCGTGAAATGTCGGTTCATCCCATGCCATGCCATCAGCTGTGTGGGCCGATCAGTTCGATAACCCGGCCAACCAGCTCGCTCACTACGAAACCACCGGGCCGGAAATTCTGGCACAAACGGGCGGGAAGATCGACGCCTGGGTGGCGGCTGTCGGCACCGGTGGAACTCTGGCAGGTGGGTGTGGTGCCTCATAACGAGCGTTAGCGAGCGTGTGTGCTGTTCACTCCAATGTGCCAGCTGACGAATTCCTGGCGTTTCCCGGCAGTAAGAACTCCTGTCGATGTCGCAAGGACTAAATACACGACATGGGGCAGACGGATGGTACACTCTGGTCGTACGTACGGATTCTGCGTCTCCACCACTCATTGCTGTGAAGACGGCGACGGGCTGTGTGGGTGGGTGAAGGTGTCCGCTAAGACAACTACTGATACGGCAATTGAGCTTGTCACGAGTTTTGACCTGCTTTGGCGGCGGCTGCTGTCCAAGATGGATCGATTCGTACTTCGAGGTGGACTTGTATCACCATCGATTGCGCATTCTACGCTACATGATTTTCTTGCCATAAAGGCAACAGTATAGAGTGAAGGACGCTCGTGGCCTGTCTGCAACGGCTTCTAACGCTTGCACTCCGTGTCTTTGATGTTTTACGACGCGTTGCGGTGCGGTGGCATTCAACGAAGGCACGTCGCGGTTCTTGAAGGAAAACGTGCCGGGGATCAAGTGCTTTGCGGCCGACCCGCCGGGGGCCTCGATGTTCGCGTACTACACCAAGGTGCGTCCGCGAGACAAAAACAGCAACACCAACCCTTGTCTGTGACCGACAGTTTGTGCTTCGGTCTGCAACGCTTGATGTGATAGCCGTACTGGCTCTGCTTCCAAGTTAGATGCTTGTAAGGTTGATATACATTGATGGCTAGTGGAGGCAGTTCGCCCGTTATTTAGCGACGCAGAGCGATTGAAGTAATTTTTTGAGCCTGGCGCCGCAAGTGCTTTGATTTGGTGGCCCCATGGAACAATACCGCGCATCGTCTGTTGTTCTTCTCGCGCTGTATGGCTTGTTGTTGATATGCATTGATTGCTGTGTGTTGGCGGGAGACCTTGTTATGTGTCTGGTTTTCCCCAGTGGAGTGAGGAGGCCGCGCACAGCTTGCCAGATCTCATCCCCGTAGTAGAGTAGTCAACCCTCCGTGCTCTCAACCGACGCCCAAAGCTGAGACTTCTAAAGTGACTCACGGCGATTTTAAGCCAGACCCCCTCACGCCCCCCCTCTCTCGTCGTGTGGAAACAATGCTCCATCCTCTCAAGGGCACGAGATCAATTGTCCAACCGCTCGAGGCATGCAAAACATGAGTAAACCACCTCCCGCTGTTATTTGTTGTGATGGACTCCCGAAAAGGGCGAAATGGAAAGGTCGGAAGGCGGCTCGATCACGGAAGGGATCGGGCAAGGAAGAGTGACCGGGAACCTGGCGACGTGCGAAGGGTTGATCGATGGGGCTTTCTTGGTAAGAGCAGGCATGACAACATTGCAACCTTCCAACATTACAACATTACAGAGGCGCCGGAGTGCGACGCTTTCCACAACGACTTTGAGGCATCGGAATTCGCATTTCTCGAAAAAAATGAAGGCGTTGTACTAGGTGACAAGTTCGGCTGCTTGGAAACAAGATTCCGGCGAGGGCTTTGAGAGAAGCGCTGTAGCTGGCAACGTTTTTGCCTCTAAGATATGGAAGCGCCTACATAGCGCGGAATCGGAGATCCGCCAAGACGGAGTGAAATTATTTCGTCGTATGATACGTGTGTTGCTTGATCCGAAACTAGGTTATGCTGTGTTTGTTTGGTAGAAGGCTTTCGTTATTGATCTTGCAATGCCGGGATAGGATCAGGAGGGGCAGTTTGGTACGGTTTTGATTGCCAGTGCCCGTTCTTGGGATGGCAAGTCCAAGTGCGCCTCACGATTTCGCAGTTTTGTAGTGCCTACACAAGGCGTGCAGGGGTCGTGCGTCTAGTGTAAGCAAGCGAAAGGTCTTGTCCACCCACGTTGTCTGGCGATTGTTGCCCGGAATCATCTTCAGTTTCCGTGTTTCAACGCATTTGTAGGGAATGCTGGATATCGATTCGCTGGGCGGTTATCACGCGAGGACAACAATATTTACAGCAAGAATGACCACGATAGCAGAGCTCCATTTCTCTGCACGGTTGTCTTGCGCGCGCGGGCTGCGTGTTTGACGACGACGTTGGCGACGTTGTTCGTTGACCAGATCCCCGACGCGGAAACAATCGCGATGGTCTATAACCTCTTGCACTACGAGGGCATCTTCGTGGGAGCGTCTTCGGCGCTGAACATGGTTGGGGCGGTCAAGACGGCGGAGGCTGTAGGGGCGGGCAATACTGTAGGTGAGCAGCGTTCCTTGCATGATGAGTGCTGGTATTTTCGGCTTGTGATGGGGAATGGTTTCACACATAGGACAGATCAGATCGTTATTGATTGCCATAGATCATTGCGGTCGGTCGGTCGCAGATCACCCAAACCTATAGCTATAGATCGATCTGTTTTTGATTCTTGATCTATAGGCACAAATCGATCCGAACCTATCTGCCGCTCTTGATCTATAGTCCATAGATCATCTGCGATATTTCCGGGTCTTTGATCTATAGACACAGATAGGTCTGTACATTGTCCGCCGCTCTTGATCTATAATCCGTAGATCATTGGTCATTTTTCCGATTCTTGATCTATAGACGCAGATAGCTCCGAACATATCTGCCGCTCTTGATCTATAATCTATGGATCATCGGTGATATTCCCGACTCTTTATCTGTACACCACAGATCATCGGTGATCTTTGCCGCTCTTTATCTGTACACCACAGATCATCGGTGATCCCTGCCGCTCTACATCTGTAGACCACAGACCATGCGGGTGGTCTTTCGGGCCGTGTGGCACGTGCCATCTCAGCTTCTCGAGAGAGCTTTCCCACACCTTCCACACACCACACTGCTCCCACACACGCGAGAGGCCACGCGCGCCTAGGATGGCAGACACGAGTGACGGCAGCCGCCTCGGCTGCAGACCAAGAGGTTATGCCTGTGGACGGTGATGAGAGCCCTAGCCCTCGGACGACTCGCCTTGTTCGATGGTATAAGACTATCTGTCGTGAACTTCTATTGACTTTCGGACCCTTCGGATCCATGTTTTCGTGCATTGTACCTTCGTTGGGTACTTCAGCCCATGATAATCGACGGCGTCAAGTGCTGTCGTGAGGGAATGACTACATAGTGCGGACAGAAGAAGTTACTGGGTAGAGAGAACGGAACAGTTCTATATTAATGAGTGAAGACAGCAACACATATATTGGCTCTTCATCTGTAGGCCACAGGGCCAGAGATCATCTGTGGCAGTTTCAAGTGTTGATCCATAGATTCGGATATATGTGTTGATCCGAATGTGTTTGTCGCTCTTGATCTATAATTCGTAGATCATCCGTGATATTTCCGACTCTTGATCTATAACCCATGGATCATCTGTGATCATCTGTGATATTTCCTACTCTTGGATTTATAGACACAGATTGATCCGAACATATGTGCCGCTCTTGATTTATAATCCATGGATCATCTGTAATATTCCCGTTCTTGATCTATAGACACAGATAGATCTGTACATTGTCTGCTGTACATGATCTATAATCCATAGATCATCGATGATACCTGCGTGCTCCTGATGTATACTCCATAGATCATCTGTGATAGTTCCAACGCTTGATCTATGCACCATAGATCATCTAGATCATGATCTATCCGACGTGTGAATGGTTTTCCACAGAATATGATTTAGTGTTGTGGGCGCATAGACGTACCACTTTTCTAGCCGGTGGTGTTCATGACACAACTGCTGTTGCGGTGCATTGTTTTCCCGACAAACTGGATTTGGTTATGGGAACACAAATAGTTCGGCCCTACGACCGTTGAAGCCACACTTGCATTAATATGAGATTATAATGAGTGCGTGATTACCATCATGTTGCTAGAGGGCCTGGGGGGGGGGGCATGAACAAGGGCTTGTAAGTAAGGGTATATGTCGACCGGGCGCTTCTCCCGCTCGAAATTGTGTCGCGAAGCACGCCATCTTTGGGGGGTGTAGAAACCATCCCTAAATCTCATCCCCAACTGCTACGAGGTGTGGATTCATTTTCCGACGCCGTTTGTGCTGCGCACTCGTGACAGTGTCGGTGCTGTGCGACGGAGCGGCGCGGTACCAGAGCCGGCTGTTCAGCAAGTCATGGCTGACGGAGAAGGGGCTGTTGGAGAGCATCCCCGAAGAGTGCCGGTACCTCATCACCCTAGAATAGTAACGCCAAGGTTGCAACATGGCCACACTGGACTGCATAGAGCACCACCACCACCGTTGAGTAGACGAAAACGCAACAACTTCGATTTGATCAGGGTCACCCTCCATGAGTAGAGATAGATGACCGTCTTAGGAGTAAATAGAGCCATTTGGAGCGCGAAGGGAGGGGGAGAAGAAGAAAACACGTGGATCCACAGGCCTGCTCAATGGTTTCCGTTTGAGTGATGGAATGGTCTTTCGGTGTTGCCTCGATGAAGATGTTGGTGTTTTTTCCGTGTTTTTTCGGATATGGAAGTCGGAAGCACTTGGTACCTGAGCGACATTGCGTCCCCTGCCTCCAGAAATGTCCTTCATTCAGTTATTGCCTCGGTGTGCATGGGTACGGATCGCGTCCGTATGCTCCAAAGCATCGGTCCGGCAGTGAGAGGCGATCTCTAGGGTGTGTAAATCCTCCTGTGTCGTTACATGTGGTGAAGATTTGACTTGCTAATGGTTGCTTCTGCGTCACTAGAAAATATCGTGCTTAACGGCGTACAGGTATCAATCAGCAGGGTGTCAGCGTTTACGCTTGACCGTGGAAGCTCGTGGGGCACGGGAACCTCCGCGAGATGTTTTTGTCGTACAACGCCGGGCGAAATGGTTTTCTGCTCAAATATGTACCTGATACAAGACAATCTTCAACCACTTCAGCCGTTGGCTTCACACATGTTTCATCTCTCCTCTCAGCCCTGAACCTAGTGTTAACTCAGATGCTACGTGTGTGGCTCGTCTTTTGGGCGCAAGAAACACTCTACCGTTGTCTACCGTTGTCAGGAAGTTAGTTCAAGGGGTTTCAAGGCATGTTTAGCAAAGTCTGGACTTAACAGGGATCTAGTTATTCCCCTACTTGTACGTGGGCGAGATTATCTCACATCCTTACGGCGGAGTCCACGGGAACCAAATAGAACTCGTACCTACTTGTACAGGGAAGGCTCTCACGCTTCTACTAAGTATCTCAACGACGAAAGTTCCGAACCGTCCCTAGCCCTCCTCCGAAAACGTTGCTCTGTCTGTATGAAAAGGTTAGTGTGTCCGTCTTGTTCGACATTACAACGGTGCTTGCTCCTACAATCGATTCACGAACGAACTTCGACGGGCATGGAGGTCTTCGAACCCATCGAAACCTCAACGATTTTTTAGTCTCACGCGACCGTCAAGTCCAAAGCAGGTCTTTACATCCCAGTTTCAAGTCTTTCCCCCCTGAACAATGTGAGAGGTACATAGCTTTCGAGGCATGGCCTAGACCAGCAGGGACCGCCTGAGCGGCACCACCCCATGGGAAAGCACCAGTGCGTCAAATAGCTTCGTTGTAGCAGGAAAGGAGCGGAGAGGTGATTCAACCGAGTCAGCATATTCGCTGCCTCGCGCCAACCATGACTCCACCAAACAAGACCCCGTCGCTGTTCAAGACAAGCAGGTCCTCAAGCAGCAAAAACTGGCCAGAAAATCACGCGCGCCATGACAAGTCGAAACAGAAACAACGACCCCCACAAACAAGACACCGTTAGTGTCCATGTCAAATAGTTGACCAATGACGAGCAGGCTCTGCTCGGTACATTTCGGAAGACACCCCGCAGGAGGCCCTCATTGATCCGGAAAGCATGCCAGCCGAAGATGACCGCATCAACAGGGGCTTCGCGAAACGGCAACGGTTCCTCGCTATGTCACGTGGGGTCCATCCCTAACTCCGCTTTGGCCAGCGATACCCTCTTCACGTTGTTTCTCTAAACCTTGCCCGATTTCCTCTTCTCCTTCTTCGCCATGCGCCGTTGCAATCGGTTACCCTCCTCTTCGCCATCGCTCGGCGGTAAAGCCTCCGGCGCGATATCCGGAGGCAGCTGGCCCGCGCTGGTGTATTTTTCCGCTTCCTTGAGCTCCTTCTTGTTCTTCCACTCCGCCAGCGACAAGTAAACTTTAGGAGACACGAAGGACGAGCGAACATGTACACGGGAGGAGGGATCGGGGATATGAGGGCGTAGATATGTCGAGGCTGGCTGCTGGACAAGGGCGTCTGGTCCCGGACGGAATGCCGCATGATTTCTCCGATTGGGTAAGATTTTCGTGAAAACCGAAAGGACGATTAGACAAACGGCCCTGGGGCTCGCATACATGCAGGGTTGTGCTCCATCCCCTGGCCCTTTCGTTGCTGCCGCAAGCTTGGTGGCGAGCGGACCGTGCCTAATGCTGAAGGTGAGCAGTGGTGTTTCTGAGGGAGGTGTTACTCCCGGCAAGATTTCGTGTGTTGAATATATACCTCGTGGAGGAGCTTGGACGTCAAGCTGTAAGGCGATGGCCGAAGTGTGAAAGGCCATAACGGCTCCAACATCAACCAAACACAACGGTAGCAACACGATCAGCAGTTGTACTGAGAACATCGGGACTGCTGTCAGAAAACGAGTCATCTTCATACGCTTGTCGATATCCACGTTCTACACACCAGGCCATGCTTGATTGATCGCTTCGGTACTTTTCGAATGGGTACGGATGGAATCTCTGTCCATCTGTTACACTTGTGCCTAAAACGATGGGAGGAGGAAGGGTGTCTTGCTCGTTTACTGGCAAACCAGCTCTTGGGGGTCAGATGCACATCAAGGCTGATTTGATTTCCCATCAGTGGGGACAACAAACAACACTCAACGAACACTACTCACCGGCCCCCGAGATAATGATAAGAAGCAAGACCGAGGACATCACGCTCAGCACCGAGATGATAGACTCCTGCTGCTCCGGCGATATTGGCATGTCTGGTGCTGCTTTCGCTGCGTCCTCGGCTAGCACCATCAAGCTCACTGAGGGAGGGGCCACCGACGCTGAAAGCCCTCGCTGCGACGTCGCTTGCCGCGCGGCGCTGGTGTGTCGTGCTATCCTTGACCCCCACCCCTTGGTATCTGAACGTGCCAAGGCATAAGAGTTTTGAAAGGCATTCAAGGGGGGAGGTGTACCGTGCACGTGTGCAAGTGTGTGGATGTGCTGGTCAGCTCCTTCGGGTCGGTGAAAGGATACAAGCCTATCTCGAGCTCTCCCACTCGCTTGACGTTCAAGTCGAAATCCTCCATTTTGTGTAAGAGCCTTGTCGGACGCTAGACTAACATCCAAATTGCGAAGACATGAGACAACAGATGAGGCACAACGATCGTTCCACATGCGAGAGATCTCAAGCATGTGAAGGTGAGGTTTGGCAGAGAAGGTCTTGGCGGCGGGGTTGCGAACATGAGCACCTACATGAGTGCCCTATTATAGGTTGCCTAGGCGCGGTTGTAACCGGAACACTCACATACAGCGTTTCCCCGCCCGATCAGCACGTTGGGGCCACCCACAAAGGCCTGCGCTGCGCTCAGCAGCAGAAGAAGAATGGGTAGCCGGAGCATGGTGGCGACTGCGAAGAAGCAGCAGTACGTGCTACTGTGGTGCAGTGTGTACAGCAGCAGTGATGTGCCGAACGTGCCAGCCGGGGGCACCGCGGAATCGATAACCCACTGTGTAACCCTGCCCACGTCAGGTGTCCTCTCCGCTCCAATAGCGCCACATTAGCTTTGAAGTCCCTCTCTCTCTCCAGTCTCTGCTGACCATGTCAAAGCAAGGCAATGGGTCTGCTCCAAATGAGATGCCTGTCGCAGATGACTCCTCGAAACCTGTCCACGTGATGGATCTAATCAAGCAATTCGACTTCTTGTCTATTGGACTGAGGGGCAAAATCCACTGCGCTCTGACAAACCGGGATCTACCTCTCAACAGCGCCGCCGTCCATCAGCACCTCAACAGCAAGAAGTTGAAGAAAGAGAGGGAGTGGTGAGTTGATGCATCGTGTTCATGTTTGCTGTGGCTTGTGTAAAGTGCTTGGTCGTATGGCGTTGACACCCTTTCCTGTATGTAGCTGCGATTGAGGCGGCGATCGAAACTCCCGAGGAGTGGCTGGCAGCACAGCAGTGGCGCGCTTTGCTACATAGAGGTCACACATGACTTATCGTGTACGCTAGTATCTGCACAGGCACCGCTGGCCCCAAAACAACTCACAAGTACATGGCCCGAAGCAAGCGTGGTAACTGAGGTTTGTATGTCCTCCAAAAGTTTGCTGTAGATTTCGTACGCAGATAGAGCCAGTGCGCGATCTGCCTCAATCTACACGTTTCAGGGGGACTGAGGCCCGCACAAGCTCATGGTCGAATAGAGAAAACATACCTTGCGTTTGAGGGGGTTCGAAATCTCTATGCATAGTACGAATCTAACATGACGTAAAATTGGTCAGCAGCACTCCGTTGTTTATAGCTTAATGTCTAGTGGGACCCATCATCGTGGAACAGTACAAATTCAACGAAAGAGGCCGATGAATATGCTATCTAGATACCGGCGACGAAGAACGTGGCCAGCGTTATTTTTTGGCGCATTCATACGCGTACCCATGGCTGCGATCGAAGTAAAGGACGCTGAAACTCACGAACGTTCTGAGTTGTTGTTCACGATCTGGCAGCTACACAGCGTCCGAGCTACCGCTTGTATCTACCGCTCACAGAACCCGATGAAGGAGGATTAATTCCACAGTTGCCGGCAGCGACGCTGTAGCGCCTCACTGCTGTGCGGGCCTTTCAGCACCCCTTTTTATTCTTGACTCCTTCAAAACCCAGACTCCTTGATACCCCCTCCGACCAACCGCCTGCAGCCCAGCTTGCTCCATTCCACGCGGTACGCCAAGCAGCTCGCTCGAACACGCGTGCATTGAAGCGGCCTTGTCGAGCTAGAGCTATGCCGGCAATCGGTCGAGAACACCACGGCGGGATGGTGGTTGAGCGTCACAGCGCCGTCGCCCGCTCGTCGTCCTCATCTCTCTCGTGTTGGTTCTTGCATTGCCAAAACCTCACAGGTATAACGCCGACTTCAGCAAGTACGAGCCGTTTGTTGTTGCCCACAAAACGAACCCGAAGTTGCTCTTCTGCACGCTCACGCGCATCGAGCTCAACCGGATCCCCAAGGAAGTGGAGGCTCACGTCAACGGGAAACGGTACCGCAACAGAAAGGCAGAGATGGAAGGGTTGAAGCAAGCACAGAGGCAGCCGCTGGGGGAGGACACTGAGGAGGAGGACGAGGAGGAGCACGGTGCAGAATTTTGGGTACGTGGGAATGTCAAGGCCGGGCGATGGATTTTGCGCTGTGTGTGTGGTTGACGATTGACATGTGTCCTTCACAGCGGCTGCTGTTGCGCATGATGTGGGACGTGCACCGATGGTCGAACCGATCAAGCTGGCACCATGCTATTCTTGATATCGAACCGCGTTCGAACGTCTCCCAAGCCAACTCTGAGCAGATTTCAACCTGCAGCTGGACGCTACAGCAGTAGGTTGTTCTCTCGCCCGTGTACTCAATTATACCTGTGATGTTTTTGGGTGTCTTGCTGTCATCGACGACAGGTGCCTACCGGGGGCGCAGAAGCGATGGATGAAGACGGCGAGTCTGACCAGGAAGAGGACGAGGAGGAGGAGGAGGGCGATGACAAAACAGAAGAGAGAGGGGCGGGGGGCGGAGTGCAGCGGGCGCCACGACGAGCAGACAAAGACCAATCAGCTACACGGGAAGGGAGACAGAAAAAGAGCGGCAAGGAGGGTAAGGCTGACAAGACCAAAAGGAAGGCGGAAAGAGGGCGGGAGGATGGCGGCGAAGGCGGGCAGCAGAACGGGTCGTCATCGGGCGGTCAGGGTGCCAAGGGACAAGCAGGCAATAAAACGGGTGGCGCAAAAAGCAAACAACGGGGGGGTAAGGGAGCCGCCAAGCTGGCGGCCAAGAGCCCGAAACCGAGCCCTCGCTCGGATGATACCCCAGCGGTTTCGAAAACGGTGGTGAGGGATGCTGCGCTCGCCTCGTCGCCCTCGTCTAGCTCAAAAAAGGCCAAGACGAAGGCGAAAACTCCGAAGAAGAGTGAGGGGGGGGAGACCCCGCCGAAAGGGAAAGGGGGTGTTGGAAGTGCGCCCCCAGTAGCGGCGCAACCGTCCGCCAAGCGAAAACATAAGGTGAGAGGAAAACTTAGGCTTTTGGGCGTAAGGGCCTGGGGGATGGGAGATTTTAAGGCAAAAGAATCGTGTGCCATCCTTTTGTCCACCAAAGATTCGGAGAAGCCGAAAAGTGCAAGACTCACGTCGGTTTTTTTCGTTGGGTACGCTACGTGCCCTCGTTTCCACAAACAAGGCACAATTTATTGTTTGCGGGCCTCGAGTTACGCCCACGCCTACGAGGCACCGTTCTATGTATCCTCGAGCGATGTTGGCGTCTTCTCGTGGTATTCCCACCGAGAAACCAACCGGTACTTCACCCGCGAAAAACGTGTGATAACCACCGCACTGAGGGTTGTTGATTGTTCGTATGGAGTTGTCACGTTCGAAGCCCCGCAATTCCACGCGCGTTAACATATGGCAGGTCTCTGACGAGCCGACATCCAGCGGCAAGAAGAAGCGAAAAGCTTGAAAAGGCACCACTGGCAAGCTGTCGCTCGATGCTGGAGAAGGAAAAAGTGGTTGATGATAACAGTATGGACGCATCCAGTCGCGGTCGATGAACGTATTTCCTCAGTGAACCGTGGTGCAGGCCCGCCGGAGTCTAGGCCTTACCCTGGTTCGGTTTTTCGGGTGTCCGGACTCGCATGTTTCCTGGTGGAAGCATGTAGAGCTGCAGATGTATTGCAGCTACCCTTGGTAAGGGGTGGAGAACGAATGTCCTGACGTCCTGACCCGTGTCTTCCGCTTTACTGGATACATGCAATCGCTTGGCATGTGTTTGTGTGCGTTTTGAAAGGACAGCCCGTACACCGTGATCGGTATGTCTTGTTGCTCAGGGTCCGTTCTTTCTATCTGGTGTTGAATTCTGATTATCATCGAGATCGACGATGGCAGCCGCAAATTCGTTGATACGGACGCCATTCTCGTACCTCTGCGCGAACCTGCTGTAGGCGCGGTTCTTTCATGCCTCGACCTCCACGCACTTGTAGTTCCACAATTCTTTGGTTGCGTAGATTTTGCATTCGTTTTGTCACTGCGAGAACGGGCTTCTTGCTCATAGCAGAGCCGTCGCGGATCGGGTTTGATGTTGCGGGACGTTCAGGTCAATATCCGAAAACATATTTCCTATACCCATAGGCTTGCCCTTAGATCATGTCCACAAGCCGTACCCCGTGTACTCAGGCGCTCAATGTGTTTCGGTCGCGCGTGGGGTCTGCGGCGGCAGTGGCCTTCTTCGGTCTTTCTGGCGGCAACGGTCCGTTATCCGTGGCAGGAGTAGTATCGCTACGATTGCTCTCAACATCGAAATCAGCGTCAACAGCCGCTAGCCCGCTGTCTTCGCCAAGAAACTCTCGGTACGCTAATACCATTGCCCGATTCCTGGCGTCGAGGGCAGCCGATATCGGGGTCAAGCCCTTTGAGTTCTTAGTGTCTGCAGAGGCTCCCCACTCCAAGAGCAGACCGGCGACCTCGGCACCCGTTTCCCCTCTAACGTCACTCCCTCCGTATTTGCCTGAAGATACCGAAGCTAGCATGTGCAGCGGGGTGTTGTTGCCCTGGTCGATTGCGTTGCAGTCTGATCCTGCTTCGAGCAAAACTCGGACGACGTCCACGTGCCGATGGAGAGTTGCTGCGTGAAGGGCGGTCCCTCCTGCCGAATCGCGAGCGCACACGTCTGCGCCGGCTTCCAGTAGCGTTTGGACCACTCCCACGGTTCCCTTTTTCGTTCGATGGGCGGAAAAGCGGGGGGTTGCCATGGTGTACGTAGACATTGTTTGTGCTAGTAATATTTAGCAGCGTTGATGGTGGTGCCACCCACAGCAGTCTGTACTTTTCTCGGGTCTAAGAGGAACAGCATCCACAAACATGAGGCAAAAGAATGTGTACTTCGGCGGGACGACTACTACCCTACTGCTGCTGCTGCTGTTGTTGTTGTTAAACGCAAACACCTTACGCAGAACGGGAGGTAGATAGAAGACTCACATGCCTTCCGCAAGAATGGCACCAATAGTCTATTTCTCGCGTGTTGGCACCACAAATATTGGAAGATGAATTCCACGTTGTTTTATTGTCTTTTTTCGCCTTGTACGACGGTTGACTGATATCAGCTTCTCAGCAGGACAGGAGTGGCATGCAACTACTGCAGAAGAAGTCGATACTCTACTCTTTTAGATTAAATGAATTGTTGCCGGAACACATGGGTCTTCGTTCAGATTTCTGCGCCCGACCCTCACCTTCCTTGCCGCGATGATGAGCCCCGTGATGGTGCCGTCGCCATCAAGGACATCCCCCCCCGCATCTAGTAAAATTTGAACCAAGTCAGCATTCGCCTGGCCGCAGGCGTATAGAAAAGCAGAGAGCCCACTTTGATCCGGCACATTGACTGAGATCCCGGAATCCAAGCACTTCATCGTCTGGGGTATGTCTCCTAAACCTGCCGCTCTCCTTAAGTCTGCGTGTAACCGCTCCGTCGCTTGTGCCTGGGACAGGGCGGCACTTTGACTCTCGTGGCGCAACCGCAAGCGATGGAGGCGCTTCTCCGTGCGAGCCACCTCCCGCCGCTTGGCAGTGTTGACCGGCAGGTATAGCTCGGGGTCCATTTGGTGGGCTCTTAGTTCTCGTTCGGCGAAAAAGGTCTGCTCCTCGTCTCTCGCACAGGATGTTTCGAGGTTGAGTATCATGTCCTTGCGCTCGATGGATTCCAGCTTTTCAAGCGCACGGTCCAGCCTGCGCCCAAGCTCGGCCGCGCGGGCGTTAGCCTCCTTTTCTCTTTCGGTCGCCTTGGCTGCCAAGTTTTCGTGTGCCTCGTTGATGTAAAGCGAGTTTTTCACCCTGCGCTCGGCAACTTCCAACTGCCGTTTGATCTGCCGAGCTTCGTTGTCCTTGTCTAGCGCACGATGTCGCACATCGTCGGTATCCATTGTCGCAGCATGCGCACTGCTTCCGCCATCACCCTGCTCGTGTTCCGCTCTCGCGTCCTGTCTGTGGTGACCGTCTGGATCCCTGGCTGTTTTTCCAAAGCTCCTCTCGAACTCGAGGCGGTCGCACCGTAGCTGTAAGATCTTTGCTCGACCATCTGCCGCTGCGAGTCGGGCGCGGAGAGCAACGTCGTCCTCGCCAAGAGTTGCGCTCGGTGGATCAGGTTGTTTCCGTCCTCGGAGCGGGCTCCGAGGCGCTTCTCTCTGGCGCCTTTTGTCGAGCTCGTTCGCAAGTTTACGAACCTGCGGCTCAAGCTCTTGGACACGCTGGCGTAGCGAGTCTGCCTCTTTCCCCCTCGCGTCTGCCCTTTTGCGGGCCCTAGCCAGTTCTTTCTCGAGGGCAAAGGTTCTGTCTGCGAGTGTTGTTGGCGAACGCGGGGACGAAACGTTTTTTGAAGAGGAAATCGGCATTGCTAGCCGTGTTCGCGGTGGGGTCTTGGCCGGAGGTCTTACTCTTTCATCTGGTTGAGCTAGTACCATGGCTTGCTGACGCACTCACTCAGGACCAGAAAGTCTCGCTGGTCTCTTTCTGTGCTCTTGCTCCCACTTTTTTCTCTATCGCGTACAACAATGTGGTATGGTATGCGCTGCATGTGTCATTGATCCACCTGGTTTGCAAAAACCTCTTGTGCCGGTTCGGGCGCGGGCGCGATCTCGCCGCATGTCTTTCCCTCTATTTCGCCGCATATCTTAGCCCCCTTACACCTTTTACCCGTGTTGTGTCCTTACGCGTTTGATACGGATGGTGGTGTACACGATCTTCGTTGCTGCCCTGTGGGTGTTGGCCTTGCTAGAGCCCCAAGTTCGAATAGATGCGGCTGTCTGTGATGGTGAAACCGTGACCGATCCAGTGTCGCTTCGAGATCCCACCGGCTGGGACAGCCAAGATTCAATCGGGGGGGCCGGGCAGAGAAGGCAAGGGCACGTCAGTGCAGAAGTTACGGCCTGGGACCAAAAACACGTTGTGGTTTTTGGTGGTACAAGCGTGCGAACTGATGACGTTAATGATGTCGTTGGACGGGAAGCAGGAGTCTTTGTCGTGGACATCACCAACCCGGCGAACTGGACGGCGCTCGAGATGGTTGGTAAGGGCGGTATTGTTCACAAGCAACAATTGTGAAAGCCAGCCGTGGGGCTACAATGCCAACGATAGCTCGTATTTCTTAGTCGATGCCATTGTGAAAAGGGTCGATTGTCCTCGACAGACGTTGGGGAAGTTGTACCTGTTGATTGGCCCCAAGCCTAGTGCTGCTGGATGAGCACGACCGTCCCGGTTGACAAAGTGAAGAGATGGTAAAGTCGTTTTACTGGTTTTGTCCTCGTAGACACAAGCAACGGGGCAGAGTGAGCACCAGTGTGCATCACAAACACCGAGGCACGCGAGCAACAGCCACAAGACACAATCGGAACTTGGAACACATGACAGCACGGAACGCGCGACAACCTTCCAAAGATACCACTACCGGATATACCCCGGAGGTCCAAATGGCCGATGGACGGCCACGTACTTCGCACTTGCATAGCTCAAACCACACATGATTACTACCGCAGTAGCCTTCGTAAGGATGGCATCATCCACCTCACAAACAGTACCCGCTATGAAGGAAATCTCCACAGTATTTCGAAAAGGGAAGATTATGTGATGTCATGTATGTATGCTGTCTGCACGAAATACCCAGCAGCAGTTATTGGCGATGGGTGTGGCCATTGCGGCAGGAAAAGAAAATCCCACGTGCCCTGCTGTCCTGGGGCTACCAAGTTGGCAACCCACATGTGAACTGCTGCACATATTCGACGGCGTCGTGTGTTTCGTGATGCGCAGCTTGCGAAGCAAGCCGCTACGTACACTCGGTGACGCCGTCCACAGTTCCAGATTCTACCGTAGTACGGGATCTTGATCGAGATTGTCATCTTGATCCGGCAGTGCATGGAAAATAAAAGTATCACATCGCAACTTCGAGAAAACAAAGTGCACGGGCACGCAACGGGCACTCGGCTACATAACTGACCTCAAACCACAAGTATGAACATAACCACAATATGCCTTGGCCTTGCGCAGCATACGATGGAGCACCGCATGCCGTATTCAGACCCGCTTCATTCGTGTGGGACAATTCTTTGTTCGTGGTCTGCGGGCATACTGAGGAGCCCTTCACGGTGACAGCCGAAGTTTGGCGAGCCGACATACAGGTGCATACCTACGTCGACCTGAACATGCGGCGGAGGCCTCTCCGCCACAGTCAATCCTCGTGTTCGAGGGCAAATATCGTACGTAGCTTGCAGGTTCATGGCCTTACCCAGGATTCTCTAGAGGCCAAGGCCATGCAGTAGGCCAACAAGATTGTGCTATTGATCTGTACACCGATATTACCCAAGAGCAACAACCCTCAGGTCGAAGCACGGAAAATGGGTTGAAAGTACCTCCACCTGGCCTCGAACTGCCCTCCATTTGTCCACGTCACCTGAAACAGGGATTCGAAGAGGCTCCGGAGGGTCTGTGGCGACCCGTGAACGCTTCCAAGACTGATGCCTTGGGCGGGCAGGTGTCTGATATCCCCAGATATGGACACACGGCAACAGTGCTCAACACAGGAGAGGCCAACCCCACAGAGGTATTTTCTGTAGAAAAGTATAGCACACAGGGCTTAAGATGCGAGAAGTACTCTTTCACGATTGCCCAGAGAAATGGTGGCACAACAAGTTCCAGTCAATGACAGCCTGATTTGACCCTCTGACGTTCATCTTATTCGCACGGGAACCGCACCCACGACGTTGCGGAACAGGCGTGGGCAATTGTAATTGGTGGTATGACCGGGAGTCAGAACAGCGTGGATACCAACCTCATCTTGCATTTGTCCGAGTCCTCGGATGAGTTTGTGTGCGATGAAGCCGCCCTAGTAAACATCACCAGCTCCTACACCTGCGGCCAGCGGACGCCGACCAGGCCGACAGAGACGGAGGGAGAGTGGTTATACTTGGACTCAAGGCTATCAAACGATTCGAAGCCTGCCTCCCGTTCCTACCACGCCGCCGCCTCGATTGCCTCCAACGGTCTGGGTGGCTCTGCGTGCCTCTACATGTACGGCGGCCGAAACTACGAGATGAGCATACTTTACTCGGACCTTTGGAGCTTGTGC